CATAATCTACAGATTTAGGCAGTCAGAGCTGCAATAGCATGGATAACTTCATTATCAAGGGTTTCCAGGTAGTAAAGGCTCAAAGCCTGATTGTTCCCAAACCGCTGTGGATAGAAAACAAAAATAAGCTACACAAATACCTTCGGTCTATTGGAAACATCAAATGAGCTTGATAGTATTGTCGATTCCTAAAACGCGAATGCTATCTCCATCATAGCATCGCTGTTAAAATCCAAAGTAAATGACAGGGAAGTTCACTCTGGATCCCTCACACTGCATGGAGAAGGCCGGCTAGACTCTAAAGGATACGGAGCAGTTATCTTTCCCAAGAAGTGCTCAGCTTTACGCGTCATTAGAGCGCTTGCAAATGAAACTGGTATATGCGAGCTTCTAAGTTGCAGACTAAAATTAATAGGAAAAGGCATCAACCTCTCTGTAATGCACCACAGCCTCGGTCGCTGTGCAGATGACTTATCTCAAGGACATCCACGGTTAGGAGTCTTATAGTCGGCGCATCAGCTGCCCAGACGGACCTTACAACACCATCCTCCGAAAATCTCTTTGACCACAAACTGTTGGCATCTATCAACTCATTTGTTCCTGTGCTACAAGAAGGCTAGGCATTATGACTCACTGCACATACCGTCAAACTTGAACATGCCGTTTTCTGATAGTTGGGATATAAACTTTACACAATAGCTTCCATGTGTGCTTAGAGGTGATTACGCTTTGCTCTTGTTTAAGTTCATAGCCAAAACCGCAGCCAAAATAAATGCTGGAATGGCCAACATAAATACCGTCATCTGTGTACTCTCCCCTCTTATGATGGGCACATATATCCAGTGGCTAGTGTGGAAGCTTTCAGTCGCCAGCTTAAGCAACTCTGCATCGTGGTAACCCAACCCTTCATCCCTTGGTCTATCTAAGGTGGTTGGTAATACCTTTTCCCGTGGATTGACAGAGAGATACATGGGTTACTTAGGCGTAAGCATAAATGTTGGAACATATTGATCACATCTGGGAGTTAAGAGGCCGGAATGCTGCGTAGCCACACGAGAAACAAAGCTTCTGCAAGAATTTGTCAGTTACGGACGAAGTTCGAAGTGTACCTAGTTCAAAACGCATTAGAAAGACCCAAGAACTTTTCGTACATGAAAATCAGGAGTTAGACTTGGAATCCAAAATCTGACCATTGATAAGGATGCAATTGTAGAGTGCCAGGAAAAGGAGGAAGCAGTGGCAAACTTCTTCTCTAAAGTGTTCACACAAAAGGCGTCACCTCGATAGCATCAGATCTAAGCCTCACCACTGGGAAACAAGATGGGTTCTGTCGACATCGAACAAGACACTATATTCCAATCCCAAAATAAACTGCACGCAGAGAGAGCAGTGGGATCCGACAGCTTCCACCCGAGGCTACTCAGCTTGATGCTCATACGTCAGGTTAATTATAGAAACTTTTCGCAAGTCAAAGGTTCAGTCTGTCAACGTTGATGAACACTAGGGGAACATCCTGTGACACCATATATCTGTGCTAGTTTCGTTTTCGTTGGAGGCGGCAATTCCTGTCATGGCTTTAACGTTTACAGAGGGGCAGAGCAATTTATCAGAGGCACTGTTGCGTATTTTATCGACGTTTATTTGTGGCTGTCTTCAGTCTACTTATTCAACTAACTGTGAGCTAGGCGATCGAACTGCACCACGTTTAACATCGCCACATCGGTTTGTTATTGTTCAAATAATAAATCTTCGAATTCCCGGTGGGGATTCTGGCATCGTTCGCACCAGATTCCAGTCACTTGTTAAGTAGCCGACTAGTCTTTTGAGTTCTGGGTAATTATCTTCTGACAACAGCAATAATTCTGGGTAGCACAAATGAAATTTTAATCCGAACATTTAACATTCTATTTAATTCAATTGGTGATCTTCACACTTGTTGAATTACTGCCCACACCCTTGTTACACCTTGAGGGAGTCTTCCTATAACTACCTACCGCGTCCATCGCCCAGATAAACAGACAGAAATCTGCATTTATTAGGTGGTTGGAGACTAGATGACGAGTGCCAACAAGCACAAAACCTGGCTCCAAGGCTTCCTTACGAGCGCCTCCAACTATCCAAAACAACAGTTTGGCCCAGCATGGTGGCCACATTGCAAACATTACTAGCATAATTCAGTCTGTAACAGACAAATGACTAGACACATAACACCGGTTACTGCATAGTGCTCCATCAAAGCTCTCATTTTGTCAGTATTAACACTTTCCGTTACATTACCTCTTTGAATCACAAATTGTTTCGTGTACCTTGGGGACACTTTAAATGGTCCTTCGTGCGGCAGACTCGATGGCTGTATCTTTTCATATTTCCACAAGACATGAATCAGAAGAGGTGCATATACCTCTCTTTATCGCTCTCCTTATTAAAAATAGGCCAATTGGTCAGCATATGTAGTCTGGTCAATCTCCTCTATATCATCACTTGGACTGATAAATTCATCAGAGAAATGCAGAGTGGATCTGAGTGTCACTTCCGCTATTGAATATTAATCATCGAATTTGACCAACCTTCGGACATAAATCATTTCCACTGAAAGGAATTCCCTCCAGTGAATGTGGTCAGAGTGAAATGTTGAGCAATCTACTACCCTATTGGCTTGAGGGATTTATATTGTACTGTGAATTCCGTGATACAAGAAACGTCGACAAGCTTTTCTAAAAAAAGATTCAAGTCGAACTTCCCGGCCAGAGGTACTTGTTATAGGCATACAGAACATAACTGCCCGGAGCTGAGGGTTAACCTTTGCAACTGCTTCCGCTGTATTGTCAGGGAGTGATGCGGCTAACCAGAACCTTGCTAACCTATCAGTTCATGTGAACAAATAAGTGAACCAGTTGCAGTGTAGTTAGTAGGTACCAAGTCCACATAAGCACGGATGTCCAGATGTGGTCTCCTTGTGAGTTTATATGCGTGTTAGCAGTGAGTAGGTCTTCTTTATACGCCTAGGTAACGTCACTTCACTCAACAAGCTTTTCATAAATCTCCGAAAGACGGAAGGCCGAATGTCACTCGTACAGACTTACATAATCTGAATGAGGCAGTAGTAACTGCATTAGATATGTTTTCCACAGCCTATGGAACATTGTCATAGTCACGAACTCAGTGTATTTTAGGAAGTATTGTGGCATCAAGAAGACTACCAGTGATGGCCTGAATAAGGAGATGTCAGATTCCTGCAATTGCCCCAATAGCGCCAATCAGTCTGTCCTTTGTGAGGCACTATGTGTAAGAGTTAAGACCAGTGAATATTTTGGGGAAGGATAATCCCCACCCAAAACAGGTAGTCAAGTTCCGCTTTCATTATATTTCGTTTGCCAGAAACTAACCTCCATGACCTGGTGGAAGCTGTGACCTTGCTGTAAGGGTCATTTTTTGACCGAACGTGAAAGTTTCAGGGTTTGTCACCGTTCGGTTTTGAAATTCTGGTGATATTCACCACAACCTTCCGGTTGGTAGTGGCACAGATTAAACTGGATTTATGTTCTATTGTCCTGCCATTCTCTCATTGTTAACCTTAACAACCAAAAAATATAAATGTATGAATAACAGAGAACGATAATGAAAAAGGAGATATATATTCACCTCCTTATATACATCTCTGGTGAGGTCAAAACTAGAAAACTGTATCTAGATAGCCAGTCCTTGTCTTAAAGGGAACTCACATATTCTAGAATGTGTTCAAAAGAAGGCAACACTTATGGTTCTCAGCACGAGGAAAGACTGGACGGTTTAAATCTCTTCCACCTGTCATTCCTTAGGCGGACAGGAGATTTAACTACAATGTTTAAAATCCTTAATAATGACTACGGACCTGACCTATTCTGTCTTTTCCTTCCCACTAGGTCGGAACACCTTAGAGGACATAGCAGGAGAGTTCAAAAGCCAAGAAGAAATTGTGTTGCTGTTGAGTACTGGTTCTCACACCGAGTCATAAACTCTTGGAACCGACTCCCAGAAGAAGTGATATCTGCAACCTCAACTGATTCATTCAAGAAGGGTTTGGACACGCGCAGAATTTTACTAGAAAAGGATTAACATAGGCCCCAAGCCTTCTATCCTCAACCGATAAATCTGAAATCTGAATCTAATTCATCTCGCCCGTCTCAATTCCTTAATCACTGACTAACTCTGAGTGACCATAGCGTTCTGGGTTGGCAAGACCCCACAGTCCATTGACCTAAAAGAGAAGTTGTTACACACAATGCACAAGATAGGACCACAGTAGATCTAACCTACCCAAAACTTGTGTAAATTATGAGTAGCAACCAACAAGTGCTACTGGTTGATGTAAAGGATATCCAGCTACCCATGACAATCAGTCAGTTGTGTGTATCATTATATGTTCTGTGTATCAAAGAATTACCTTGGTTCGTCAAATCCCGTACAATTCTGTATTAAGTGTACCTGAAACTACGAAAGGACTTAAGGGTGCAAGAGACATGCCTAGCCTTTAGAAGGGCATCAGCAGTGTGTTAGGCGGTTCTGAAGAATCGATGCTTTCCGAACAGAGAGAATACCAGTGTCTTCATCTTAGACTCACATGGATCTTAACATCATATCGGGCCATTACCCAAAAACATCAACACCCTGTGCTGCAAACGTAGTTCATAGCTTTAGGTCTATATAGTCAATACAGAGGGTTCAATTAATACACATCTCTGAGGAGATAAGAAACAAATTTAAAATCGGAGGAGAATCTGTACTGCTGTACAATACTGTCTGTCCCACCAAGTCATTAACTCTTGAGACTGCCTTTCAAGAAAAGGGATTAGACAAGCAGAAATAATTAATGGGAAAGGATTCACATAGACTTGGATTTTTCGAGACAACCAAAATGTGGATGGTGTCTGTAAGTTTTCGAGGAGAAGGTGAACAGTTTTTCCATATGTTCTCTCTTAATTTTAGGGTTTCTAGCGACTTTATAAACCTTGTCATTGGACATTGAAGGCGATGTTTATCACACGATTTCACGCGGGCATGTTTCGATATGTTGTTTCGCACGTTTGTTTTTCTTATTTTTGTGAAGCTGACTTGTACTTTACAATCTAACGAGAGTTATAAGTGCGAAAACCTTTTGCCTGGTCAATATTTGTGTGACTCCCCATTGATAGATGAACTGACTCAACAACCCAGGAATTGTTCACATACTCTAAAAGCTCCAGGTAATCTTTTAATCGTATGTAATCACTACAACCAAGTGAATTGTAGGCCAGCTCCTGGAATACGTTGTGACGGAAAGCTTTTCAGTGGTTCTGAAATTGGCTTTCAAAAATTAGTAGATTGCCGTCGAGTGTAGTTTGGTCATTTAAGTTAAATAAAATTTTATATAGGACTGGATATAAGTTTGATTTCGCACTGTTGTTGTCAGTTTTTGGTGGGTTGTTTGGATTGGATCGTTTCTATCTTGGATACCCAGCCTTAGGTCAGTGCTGTAAATACTTATATCCTTTTCATGCAGGTTGCTTAAAATTCTTCACTTTTGGAGGGTTCGGACTGTGGTACCTGTGTGACATATTACTTATCTCAGTTGAAGTGAGTGGACATTATACTTTGTTGTTCTACGGAATTTGGGGAGTAAAGTCTAATGTTGAACGGTACATATTTCTTTCTCTCTGGCAAAGTAGCTGGGTTAAGTTTGTGATTAATGTCTAAAAATAGTACTCAGATCAAGTAGTTATCTAGATTTAATTAGTTACTGGTAGTCGATTACTAAACTTAATGTGGAGTTTGGAGTTCATCTTTATAATTTTTTCAGCGTGGGTTAATTTTAGTTATTAGTATCACATAGTTGTTGGTTGGTGACGCTTTCTTAAACTACCAGTTTTCTCACTGTCATATACCACTACATTGTTTGAGTAATTTTAATTAGAACAGAAAAAGTCAACCATTCACGGCGACGTCCAAGTACAGTCCTATTATCCCTTTAAAGCTATTGGTCATACTAATGTTACTCGACAACTGTATGCATGTTAATGCACTTGGCAATAAACTGTACTTGTGCTTGGTGCAGTTATATAACTTGGCTTCCCTAAACTAGGAATTGTAGAACCGAGTGCAGACATATAGTCGGAAGGCGATGAAAACATGTTACCGATTCTCTGAGTCATCCCACCACTTTATGATTGATACGTTATAGAAGACGCAATCCTCTGAGTAGCACACTCAAATGATAGTAATTTTAGAATTACATAATGTTGTGGTGCTATTGAAGCTTATTCAAACCAACTAACTCAGTATTTCATTGCCTCTGTAAATTACTGAAATTATGTGTACGTTGCAAATCGGCTTTGATTATTCATCTCCAGTAATTGAGGAGTCATGTGAAAAATCTACTAGAAACAGGTTCACACGCTTTTTATGTTCTGATATATCAGCGTATACTTGCTGACCTCCCTGGTTTATTTTACTATACTTTTTGCTTGCCAAATTTTGTATATCACTGTCAAATGATTGAAAAGCATAGTGTGCGTGAAAAATCCCATCTGCTAGGTAACAAAATGAAGATAGAGAAACTACCCTTGTAAGATAAGAGATAAAAGAGGCAGTCAGGCTTCTAGCGTACAATCTAAAACACATTTTATTTTGGACTACAGCTTGATGCCACACCGTATTTTCAATACAATCTGAAACACATATTGTAACCCCGTAAGCTGAATAATATAAATGTTTCTACAGGTTGTTGGGATATATATATATATATATCACTCCACCACAATTGGGTATATCATCAGTGATAATAAGCAGGCAGCCTTGTCTTACTCCTGTATTCACTTCGAAAGCCTCGCTGAGTTTTCCTTCGTGGATCACTTGAAATCCACAACAGTAAGATTGAGTCAGTCACGTAGCAAGTTGGAGACTTCCTGGCTGATTCAACATAGCAAGAACAACAATTTTACCAGGATAATATGAGCTCATCTTTTACCATTATTTCGAGGATTCTTGTCAACTGGCTTCAACGATAAAAATATGAATTGAATTAAAGATTTGAACATAATTTTTCACGATCATAAGGAGTAATTGGTAGGAAGTAAAAGTAACATTAGTCCGGAATGATTTAACTAATTAAGAGTTACAAACACTGACTATTTATGGAATAATTAGACAATTAGGCTTGGGAACAAAAGACAGAGTTGCGTATATATGTGGGTGTGTATAGAAACAAGGTTTAGGTAGAAAGAGCATAACAAAAAAGTAGATTATGTAACTAAAGAAAATGGTTTATCTAATAGCCATTAGAAAAAAAAGAACAAGATAGGGTGAGTCATTTTTAGATGAGAGAGTAGAGTTTTGTAAACAAGAAAAGGGGTGACTCATAAAAGTTGTGTATTTTGTTATCACCAGGGCAGTGCAAGATTCACTACTGTCTCTTTCTGCGTACATAGATTTGGTTTAAGTCGTTCGATAGCAATTGCTTCAGCAAAGCGTAGCAAGCTAGGTTTCTTTCGCTTGTTGATTATTTTGAACAACTTCAGGTTGTCTACAATATGACCAGTGTCCAATAGATGACGCGCAATCGCACTGTTTAATGCTTGCGGACCTTTCAGTCTCAGGTTCTTTGGTATTTGTTCAGAAATGTGGACAATAACCCTTCTCTCTGTTCTTCCAATGTATGTGCTTTGGCACGTACATGTAAATTGGTAGACACAGTTGGAGGTAACATGAGGTGGGTATTTGTCCACTTTTGATTGTCTTCAACAACTAGTTGTTTGATAAACACATACAAGCTTGGCGGCTGGGTATGTTCTTTTCAGGGCAGCGTTCAGTCTGCATCTTATTTTAATAGCAGTATCATCACCTTTGAATGTGAGCTGCAGAAAGATAGGCCTTTTCTCTATTGTGCTGCTTTTCACATTTTCAAAATGACGTCTCCCATACTTGTCGATGAACTTTTGTGGGTAACCATTGTCACGTAGGCATTTCTCCACAATGGATAGATCTTCCTCAATCTTTTCTTCTGAACACAGCTTCCTTACACGATCAAATAATGTTCTCACCAATCCCTTTTTGTAACTTATAGGGCAGAACCTTTTGAAGTTAAGATAAACTGCCCTCCAGGTCTCTTTTCTGTGTATATATCTTATGATTTTGCCGTCTATATCTCGTTGGATACCCAGGTCAAGAAAATGGAACTTCTATTCTTCATACTCCATTGTAAACTTAATATTAGGATGGGCGCTGTTCAAGACTTTGAATACTTGAGATGCATCACTAAAAGGATTACAAATAACGAAAGTGTCATCGACATACCTGGTATAGAAATTGGTCTGACTGATTGCGAATTTCAACACCTTCCAATTCGCTAAGGAATTAGAGAATCTAGGCATCTCAAGTAAATTTGTGGTGTTCTTCTGCGTGTCTTCACTGTTTACAAAGATCCCATTGGAAGAAACAGTACAAATTATATGTCAACACGCCGAACTTCTTCCTCTGCCCAAGAACGAACTCAAAGACGTACACACACACATATATACGCAACTCTGTCTTTTGTTCCCAAGCCTAATTGTCTAATTATTCCATAAATAGTCAGTGTTTGTAACTCTTAATTAGTTAAATCATTCCGGACTAATGTTACTTTTACTTCCTACCAATTACTCCTTATGATCGTGAAAAATTGTGTTCAAATGGTTGAGGTCGCGCTAAATCACGAATTGGTAGAAGTTAGAATTCATGAGCCATTGAATCGGATTCCAGTGGCTGAATGGTATACAAGCTTGCCTTGTAACCGGAAGGTCTTGGGTTCGAATCCCAGCGGGTGCGTACTGCCGATGATTCCCTAACTGGGATGAAACAGCAGCTGTCCAGTACTCCCTTGTTTTCAATGGTTCTCTAACTGATATCAATCCGTGATCAACTCGTAAAAACATGACTTCAAAATATGGCATCAAGTTGTGAGGGTATACAGTACAGTACTGTTTATCATCGCTTCCATGAAAACTGAAAAGTATGATTTATTGTTTGGTATTTCAATTGTATATATATTTAAATAAATCACTCCGACAACAGTCAAATTGGTTGGTATTGGTTTCACATATCTTCTTGTTCAAATGTAAACTCAGACGTATGTTTCTATGTTGATTATAGCACCGAAAATCCACCTTTTTGGTGGTATCCTGTACCTCTGGTTTCAAGCAGTTTGTACTGTGAATAGAATCATAAAGCATTATTTACCAAATAATTACGCCCTCAGTATTATCAACATTTACCAATCTCTGTACTTGATTATCTCCTAAGATAACTGTAATGTAACCAACCTAGACAGCACATAGGAAAGCATTAGGTTAACTTTATCTACCTTCTAATAATTGTAAAAGCTGCACTGGACAGAGCAAAGTTTAAACTTATAATCACATAGATTTCAAGTAAACCATGGGTTCTTAGTTAGTCTTTGAATAATGATTAAGAATATCTATAAAATATTGTTGTAATCAACTGGTTCAATCTTCCATCTATTAATTGCACTTAATTGTAAAAGTATTTATTTATTTGTAGACTGTAGGCCCTGCTGACGGGTCATCATTTCTTCGACCTTACTACGATCCTTCAATAACTCTCCTCCACCGAACTAATTTCACCGTCTATTCTGGTTGAATGAATGTCTGCGAGTGATATTGACAAAGAAAATTCTACCTTAATTCCGCGTTTAAATTACGTGCACCTGCTGCTAACTCTTATCAACGGTACTTCAGTTTTGCTTCATTTAGCTAATCTTAAACAACCTCTCAAGGCTACGCTTGACATTTGGTGTCCTTCAGATCTAACTAACAAACCCGATTCCGATCGACAATCAAACTTTGTTTACGTGAGAAACCTACATACACCAAACGGTGTTCTTCGCAGAGCTCGGATTCGTGAGTCTGACATAATAGCTATTGAAGTCGTCAGTACAGATGGAAATGTCAGATAATTCGTTTCGAGTATTAGGTGATACTCCACCCGTGCCTCCAAAAAAGCGTGCTCGGCTTGATGTATCCTCTGTCTGCTCTACTAATAATGCCTCAACAGACTCTATGTCTTTCTGCCCCGAAAATATGCATTTAGTTTCTGTGCTTCGGAATGATCCTCGCAGCAAGTGTTTGGTGCTTCACACGCGTTTTGGCGATGACTTAAAGGAAGCCATTGTAACCCTGCAAAAGTCATCATTTCCAAACGATGCTGACACTTTAAAACGTTGCAAAGTAGTTAACAAACTGATCGTCCATAAGGAAGATAACAATGAAGAAGACAGCTGTCTTAAACAAGATGAATCAGTGAATATTGAAGAAAATAACTCCTCTTTTCCTGAATGGCAAGCCAAATCAATTATGAGCAATGATGTGTACCATCGCTTCCTTGTAACAAATGGTTTGGAGTCAGTTAACAGTGTTGATATGACTGTAATTTATCCTGCTGAGTCACATCACTTTGCAAAATTTACCGGTTCTGGTCGTCATATTATTCAGGAAACTCCAGAAATGTATAAAGACGTTATTCTTCCTTTCTTGTCTGAAAAGCCGAAAGACCTCACTTGGATTGATAATATAATAGCAGGAACCGCTGAACAAGACCGTGTTCTATACACTGATGTAAATGAAGAGTATGGTTTCACACTGGTACTGGACTATCAGTGGGATGGAACACGCTTGCAAGAACTCCATTGCCTCGGTATTGCTCATAATGCAAAGCTAACTTGCCTACGTGATCTGCGTCGTTGTCATGTTCCAATGTTGAGAAAGATGCTGCAGCAGGGACGCAATCTACTTTCTGATAAATACAGCAAGCCGGCAGATGTTTCCAATAATCAAACATGCCATAATGGTCACAAAGTTGGTCTATCAAAAGATCAAATTCTTGCCTATTTACATTATCCACCAACTTTTTATCGGCTTCATGTTCACTTCATGCATGTAGATTCAGGAGATAGTGGCACTATCGCAGGCAGAGCTCATATACTAGAAGAGATTATCCGTAATCTTGAACAAGACGATTTTTATTATGCTAACCGTACACTCACTATCTTTTCCCATGATCAAAGCCCTATGTACAAAGCTATTTGTGCAGGTTGTCCCCTAGAATCTACTGAAGATTCAGTAACTGAGTAAATTATGTTTCTCTTGATAAGAACTGTGGAAGATTTATTACAAATATATATATATATTGTTGTACTATCTCTGATTTTTTAGTGGATAAAATGTAAAAATATATATTTCGTAGCATTATCAGTTTTTAGTTTTAATGTGTACTGTGCAACTGAAATATATTTTACTACTGAGTGCTGTAGCAGATTTTTTTAAGAATAGAACACTTGTAGTTAAGAGCAGCGCGTGCGTATGTATATGATGAGATGTGGTCAACTGGCTTTAATATTTCGTTTTGATACATTAGGTATCAAGTTGCAATTCCAAACCAACTTTTTCTGTGAGACACGAGGGTAGTATATCATAATGTTTTACGTACATTACACTACTTTGTGTACGCTGTTCTAGATAGTAGCTAAGTGGATTTTCAGCTGCTTGTCCAACAAAACTACACGATGAATTATGTAAATTAGGTAATCAAGGGTTTTTGTAAATATTGTTGTTACGATTCGCATTACGTTGAAATTGAAATAGTAACACACCGGGTTGGACAAATGCGCTCATCACAAATAATACCGCTTGACTACGCCAGCAACATTATATACAACAGGTCCCTGTTTTTGCAGCCCGTATTACTTAAGCGTGGACACACGTGAGCTACAAAGTATATTTTACGCAATGTACAATTCAAAGTGTCACCAACGATATGTTCAGTTAGTCTGCAATCATGATCAGTAAAGTATTGACGTTATTTTACGTTGGCCAGTTGCGACTGGTTTATTCGCAGACTGGACATGGACCACCATATCATCTCCCCCTTCAGAAAAGACGTATTATTAAGGGTCAACTTGGAACCAAACCATTTATTTTTTGCACCTGGTCGACCGGCGCTGAGGGAGTGGTCTGCTTACTGAAAGGTCTAGAGCACTTATGGCCTCTTTCCTATCAGAGCGTGAGCGGCGGCGCGCTTGAAAACCACTTTTCCGAGATGTGAGGGTTTGGCATCACTTATCGTAATGAAACATCTAGCTCAGGTTTCTTTGGTTGAGAGACGGGCGTACTGCCATTTGGGGGACATGGAATCCGAAAACCGACGATGCTTTGGCAGGCTGGTGCTGGTTGGGAACGTCGACTTGTCAAAGATAGACGTTTGTGAGTGTTGCTGGCTAAAATCCATCTTTATGTCTAACATTATTGCAGTCTTGGCATTGGTGTTGCTTATGCGGAAAAGATTTGACGAAGTGCCAAGCACTACAACGCAAGCAGGGCGATGGATGTTTCATCTTCGATCAGTTGGTATTATATGAGTAACTGGGACGATGGCCGTTTGAAGTGTAGGACCAGGGAGATGTGGGGTCAGAGTTCTGGCGAACAGCATTGATTTCAGGACCACCCTGGCGTCCAGCATAGACCAAGTTGGTTTTTCAGGAATTTTCTCTAACGTCGAAAAATCCCACAATCCCGTTGCCAAAAGATATATAGGGTGTATTCTTGTCAAGCATTTTAAAAACGCTTTATTTAGATACACATCTGTCAGCTAGCAAACATTTCACGGACAACGATCCACTAGGTTAACTGTGTATTTAAAGTTAATTGTGGTTATAATCCAACTACAAGGTTTGCAGGAAATTTTTGAATGAACAGTAGATGTCGAATGTAAATAAATGTATGATCCTGGAAGTTTTGCGTTTGTAAGAATACTTCTCTTAAATCCTCCTTCTAACGACCAGAAATATTTTTTAAATTTCTTATGCCATTGATTTGTTTGTTGCAAGCGTAACTTCTTAAACACATTTACGTGTCTTCTACTTAAAGCACTTCTTATTTGCCCGACCGGTAGCTGCTACCTTGACGTACGTGGTGGTCAGGCTTTGCATATCACGATGACCCAACAAGCTACACTGGCGGAATTAGTGTTCCTGTAGGTCCTACCATGCCAGAAAGATTGTTAGGATAGCGATTAGACCAATAGCAGTTACTGGCATATAGTGTTCTACACTATGCTGGGGGTCTGTGATTAAAGTCGTACTGCTGGGAAACGGGTATGTAACAGTTGTAAGGTATTTCCCTCAGATGACCAGCATACCGACTATGCTGTCTCTCCACTCTGGAAAGAGCAGCGGGTTAGAAAAGGTCGACCACAAGAATAGTGCATCCCGTCTTACTCTACAGTGGTACGTAGCCGGCGGTAAATTACTAACAAGGAACCAAACCTAAAAACCAGGTCGAACAGGCCGTGTGTAACCCTTCTCAAGCACTTGTCCCCTAGGCTTTGCGGTCATGCAATACTGATTCTCTTTCTGTGTCATGTACCCCAAGAATCAGTCAACTTGCACGGTGTGGGCAGCCGGGAAATAACAACTACCCACACACTTCCTAAAGCATACGAAACCTTCCTTATCATGATTCTTCTTTATACTTGTTCTTGTGGATCTAGGTACTCAAAATACTCACGACTGTACATCTTTGTAAAAGTTATCTAGCAATCTACTGTCTATACCGACATACTTCAATTCACTGAAACTTCCATATCGTTTAATGTGCGTTAGCTCCACGATAAGTTTAGAGAACCACAGAAGTAGTCAGATTATTGCATGTTGGTTTAAAATGAAGGTTGTGTTAAATTCGGCTCTTCTTTTAATGTTTTCTGGTTTATTGTAATAAGATAATTGAAGTAAGTTCCTCGACATGCTGTTAACCATGACTCACAACAGAAATGATATGTGATTAGGCTTCAACTCTCTTGTGTCTCTTTCACTATCGAAGAACAATAGTAAGTTATGAACATTACTAAAGTGTATCTCAGTTATGTTTCACAATAAGTCGAGATTGAAATAGGGACGTCGAGTTGGACAAAGACGCTCTAATCATGACTACACCAACAACGTGTTATGCAACAGCTACCTGTTTCCGCAGCCTGCACTACTTAAACGAGAATACACAACGACGTGAGCTGAAAAGTATATTTCACGCAATAATATATAATCTGAAATATCACCGTGGATGTGTCAATTAGTCTGTAATCATGATCAATAGAATAGGGGGCGTTATTTTACGTGAACCAAATTGTGATTGGTTAATGTTCAGACTGAATATCGATCGCTTACGTTAGCCAATTTTGATTGGTTTATTTCCAGATTGGACATCGACCACCATATCTATCTTGTAAGAATGCATGTGTGATTTATTCTGTAACTTCCTAACTCGTATTTTGTCCTTATTTCTTGATCCACATTAGGTGCCAAGTTTCTCGTCTGGATAAAGTAAAAGTAACAGCAGTAATAATCATTGTGTTTATCATTGTAGTTTTATAAAGTTAGTATGCCTTCGTGAATAAAAGTTTGTTTCTTCTGAATTTAACAGAAAGCTTTCTATCAATGTCATTATTTCAGTGACTGAGTTTTGACTGAATCACCACAGTTCAGAGTTAGTTGTTTGTCAAACCAGAAAACATACATTTGTATGATTGTATTCAATGTTTGTAGTCTATTTTATACGTCGTGTGCGATAAGATGATTTATGAATCATAGATTCAAATGAATTAAATTTTGATATTTAATAATGTTTACTTTTTTTGAAAAGGGTGATTGTCTCAAGGGTACCGCTTTATTCTCTAATAGGTAAACAAAGTTATCTATTTTAATCTATCTTCTGTATGACCTGAGTGAAAATTGTGACAGTGAATTAATTAGCGAACAACTAAAACAACAACAATAATAATAACATCGGATATTCAGATTACCTACAAATGATCTAAAATAAATAGTGTGAATTAGCTACCTAACAAGACAGACTATTGAGAAGTGAATTGATGAGTCATACATCAGAAATGACTTCTATGGCTTATACCTATAGTGCATACTAGGTTTATTTCACTGTGAATAAAAGTATGGTAACATAAGTTTACTCCAGTTTTTGGTTACTCCTTATTGATTAGGAGTTACAACAAGTACATGACCTAGGTTGAAAAGCTGCTCCCTACAAATGACATAACAGATATTGCTTAATGGTGTGTTTAATCTCTTTGCTTATATTTTTAAAAATTATTATTGTTCCCTTGGGTTTTGAGTGGAACATATGGCTTCAGCATCACATTTCCACTTCGTCCTATTCCCTGCAGTCCTGTTTAGTTGGTCTCACGACTGCCCATGGTCTCTCATCTCCTCCTCACTACACGATCTCCTCTCCCGACCGATAGATGCTACCTTGACGCGGTTACCGGGCTGACTATGGATCAAAGGACGTGTACTGCTCAGCATTTCGTTCCGTCCTCCTTTATGGCTGTGAGCAAGACATGGCTATTGAGAGTGAAAGATATGAAAAGCCTACCTATAGCTGTCTTTGATAATAAGTGTCTGAGTTCTGCCTCCCATGTTAGTCGGTATAGTAAGGCGAGTAATACTGAGGTTAGGCGTCTAGTGTTAGGTAAGGAGGGAAAATCAATCAACGAGGTTGTGAAGTTACACCGATTGAGATAGCTAGTAGATGTGTTACGCATGCCTAGCCATCGCATTCCTCTTCGGGCAATGTTAGCTGACATAGGATGGATCAGGTTGGAAAAGAGCTAGTGGTGGTCAAACTAAAACATGACTTCATCAGTCAATGAAATCCACAACAGTTAGTTTAAGCAGCCAGCCAGCCACGTAGGGAGGTGTAGACTGCTGTCTGGTTGGGGTCCTGGGGATGGTAAAAACCAATTAGGGATGGAGACAATTGGTGAAACGGCTCAAAATCGTTCTCGATGGTGGTGCAGTTGCATTCACGCTTTGTGATTTATCATATCCAATGATACTTTACTGTTCTTCTATATTAATATTCTTTTTCCCTTACATTTCTGGTTATTATCTCTCTCTTTTGAACCTCTCTTCTCCTGATTTGTGTGTTACAAGAGGAGAGAGTGGCAACTCGAACTCCTGCACATTTGCACAAAGTTCTATGTTGAAACCAGTCAGTTGGTCTCCTCTGTGTCACCCTTGGACCACCACCCAACTGGTCTTCTCCCTTTCAGGTTCCACCTGAGCTATGGCCTGACGCGCGATGTCACTCAACAGCCTCCTTAGTGTCGTGTGTGTATTGATTCATCTCCATTTCGTTCTACATATTTGTTGAGCGAAAGATTCTTGATTGCTTCGTTCTCAGTGTTT